AGAGCCCTCGGACCGCGCCTGCGCCATCCTCGGCGCGAGGGGCCGGTACCTTTAAGGAGCCGCGGCATTGCGTCATTTTTCCGCGACGCCCCCACGCTCTTGCTCCCGCCCTCTCGCCCGCCATCGCTGGATGCAGCCAATCAGAAGCGTCATTCCCCGGTAGGGCCCTCGGGTGCTGCCCCCGCGCCGTCAGAGGCTGTCCACGGCCGGGAGGGATCGCTGCGGCGCCGGAGGGCTTTGCGGCCGGCGGGGACTCTGTGGTGGAGCCGGTGGCCTCTGGACCCCCGAGTCTCGGCTCCTGCGCTCTAGCTGTGGCCACGGGCACGGTGCCCATCCTCACCTCTCCGTCTGCAGCCTGAAGACGATGACTTCTTAGTGTTGTGGACTAGCCTGTGAGCAAGGACGCAGTAGGTGTAGTTCTCATTCTGTTTGAGAGAAAAGCCGCTTCCCAAGTAAGAGCCGAGACGCGAGAACACAGGCTCTGAAAGAGCGATTAGGTTGCGGCCTAGGGAGGAGAGATAGCAGAGGAAGCTGGAGAAGGAAGCGGCAGGTCTTGCGTTCTGCAGGGCCTCCTTGGCCGTGGGAAGGGAGTTGGTCTTGGTTCCTGCAGGTGTTAGGAACCGAGAAAGGGCTTTGAGCGGGTGGTGGTGGTTGTTATAAAGATCACTCCGCGGCTGCATGGAGAGAGAGAGAGAGAGAGAGAGGGGGAGTGTTCGTGTGTTCCAGAGACAGAATGATGCTTCTGTATTGCAGTACTTGAGGGAAGGGAACGGTGGCCTAGAAGGAAGGCTGATGATGGCGGTGGACAACAGTGGATGGCTTGCAAAGAGTAGACAGGATTGTGAGGGAGGGGAGTCCAGGATAATGTTCTGGGTTGAGTAATTGCCTGGGTGTTGGGACCTTTCAGAGAGAGAGGCAACGCTGAAGGGGCGGAAGCGAGAGAGGCTAGACATCATCGGTGACAGGAAGCCACCCTGGGTCCGCTTGACTGTTAGGGCGAGCCCTGTTCTGTCCGAGGTTTGCCCGGAGGCTGCTAAGGGCACGTGGGAATGGGGAATGTAGCCGCCAATTCCTGCAAACAGGTGCTCAATAAGCTTCTAAAGAAATCGCAATTTTACGAGGACCAAGGGCCAGAAGAATGTGACCCGCGTTCCAGATAAGGCGGGATGTGGTTCTCAAGGGATCAGCTCAGCCTTTTCTTTCAGCCCAAGGCTCCGATAAAGTCTTGGGTCTTTACCCTGAATCAGCCAAGGCTCTGCAGTTGCTGGTAGGAATCAGAGTATATAACTCCGCTGGAGTCACTGGCAAAAGGATAGATGAGAAGAAGGATGTTACCCGTGAAAGATCCAGAAATGCACAGTCCCTTCTTCAAACACAGCTCAGTATTTATGGGTGAAATGACAAAAATGTTTAGCATTAGCTTCAAAACAAAAGGAAGGGATGGAGGGAAGCAGGTGGGGGTACAGGTGAATCAAAAGTGGCTGTGAATGATTGGTTGTTAAAGCCGGGTTATGGGTACATGAAGGTTTGTTGTACTAGTCTCTGTATGTTTATGTTGTAAAATAAGTAAAAAACAAGATAAGCAACTCAAGCCTTTCTTCACCATGATACCTGCCCAGTATCCCAGGGAGCAATCAACACTGTTCTCCCAAGTTGTTGCTGTGTTTCGAACATTGCTTTGGCAGGAAACTTATTGTAATGAGTTTATTTATTCATGTCACCTGCTAGCTTGTGTATTTTAGTGTGTCTCTGTTTCCAAGTGCCAAGTACAGTGCCTAGTAGTGCTCAGTGAATGTTGGATGGAGGGATTACTATTTTTTAATTGATTTTAGAGAGCGAGGAAGGAAGGAAGGAAGGAAGGAAGGAAGGAAGGAAAAGAGAACATCGATATGAAAGAGAGATATCAGGAGGTTGCCTCCTGTATGTGCCCTGACTTGGAATCAAATCCACAATCTCACAACCTTCTGGTGCACGAGACAACACTCCAACCAACTGAGCCACATGGGCTAGGGCAGGTAGATGGAGGAATCTAAAAAAACTGTGAATACCAGGCACTTAATAAATGTTTTCTGAATCGCATTCTATATTTTTAGTGTATTTGTCTTTTTTTCTCAGCTGGGTTGTTTTTAAGGTCAAAATGATACCCAGGACAGAGAGAGTTCTCTATACCATGTAGACATTTGATGGGTTCTTATTGATTCATTGCTTGGAATGCTGGTCTACTCTTCAAATGTCAGAGGTTCCAAAACAAAACAAAGAGCTCAAATAACAGAATCACCCTCAGGTAACCAGTTATCCCGGAATGGGAGTGTTGCCTTAATTGAAGAGGTGAGTGGGGATTAGTCAGGCAGGCCCTTCCTGGTAAGGATGAACCTTCTCTGATGTTTTGACAGAAGGAAGGAATGAGAGGGCCTGGTTAGAGGGTTGTAGACAGACCAGCATCACTGAGGTGCAAGGTAGTTGCTGGCTTCAGAGGGTCACCCATGCAACAGGCAGCTAATCAGCAGAAGAACTTGTATATGCTTTCAATACCACCCTCACTGCAGTATTCCCCACCAACCCACCTGCCTGAATAACTCACATTCATCCTTCAAAACCCAGCTCAAAATGACCTTCAGGGAACCTCCAACCAGCTTCTCATGGCAGAGTCCCCATGCTATGCCATGTTCATGTGTTCTGTGCTGCATTGCCTTCACCGCACTGTAATTAACTGGTTTATAAGTTGGTTTGTGTGCTTCTCCAGAGTGCTTAGTGGGTGCCCCCTCGTTCTTTTACTTAATTAGTTAGAGGTAGCAAGTTGAGTAATTGAGCAGGAGAGGCAGGATATAACACAATAGGGGTAGGTGGGATTACAGGGAGCTGAAGGACACACACCCGTCTCAAGTGGGAGGATGCTCCTCAGCTGATTGCACGTGCCCAGTGGTGCCAAATCCAGCCATTTTTCAAGAGATCTGAACATTTAGATTCACATATTGGATGTTTTTTCCAACATTAGCCACTAATTCCATTTGGGAAATAAAGATGCAGCATATGTCTGCAGGCAGGATCTGGTTTTAATTCATTCCCAGAGGTAATCAGAAACCCATCTCGGTTTACTGAGAAGTGAGTTAACAATCAAAAGGATGCTGAGCTCTCAATAGACATTGTTGAGTTGAACTCAAGTGCCCCAAGAAAACTCATCCTAGTGTTCTAGGAAAGGAAGAAGGATTTTGGGGAGGGGCAGAGCCTACCCTCCCATCTGCTGTAGGAGCCACTCCTGGTTGGGCAATGGACTGTTTTGCAGCCTTTCTTGATATTGCTCAAACTGAGCTGGCTTTGATATTGTTTATGGCCATCAGAATGGTGTATTTGTTGTTATTGTCTCTCTACATTCCATAGATGTAAGACACCAGCTATTGTGAAACATATAATCTAAGAGATCCAATATCATCCCAGCAGTTTCAGTCTCTGGTGACTATAACTGTCCCCTTCTGGTTTAGAGGCTAAACAACCCCCAGAAATAGGACTTGTTTTTGTTTTGTTTTTGGTTTAAAGGATGTTCACAAGATATTAACAGTAGTCACTCATTCAACAGATATTAAGCACCTTCAGATACAATGATGGTGAAAACATAATTACCTCAGTGGTATCATTGTAGAGATTTTTTACTCTCTGTGCTTTTCTGATCATGTATCATTTTTTACAATCAGAAAAAAATAAGAAAATAATTTCACTCGCAAAAAGAAAAGAGAACAGTTTTGCTTTGCTTTGAAAAAATGATCCCCCAAAGAAGAGAAGAATCACCCTGGGGTTTTATTTTTTAATAAATGTTAAAAAGAGGAATGGGAATCCAGTAAAAGAACTAATACAAAGGGAAAAAAATGAATAGTTTGAAAGCTCCTTACAAGTCATCAAATCCAGTGGATTTATTTTATTGAAGAGAAAACTTAAGATGAGCACACAGCTTGGTCAGGGTCATACATGTGACCTCGTCGGGCGGAACAGACAGCCCCAGAGCTTCTGCCTCCCAGCTCTGTAAGCTTTTCCATTACACCAACTTGACTCTTTGTAAACATTAATTTGGTTGAGACAGTCTCTTCTGATTCATTTTAAGGCGGTCTGCATATATTTTATTGGGTAAATCTGCCATTTATCCAAATCTATATATAGCCCATTTCTTTCCAAAAATCTAAGCTCTTCCAAATTGCTGAGTCAGAGAACATCTCAGTATTTATAACCCTTTAGTTGCTTCTTTATATTTAGACAATATTCAGAGAAGTGTCTCAGAAACCAGTGAACTAAGTTGTAATGAAGGTAGTGACTGTTTCTGTCGAAATCGATGCTATACTCCTTAGCACCCAGCACAATGCCTGACACATAGTTAGGTGCTCAATAAGTACTTGCCAAATGAATAAATGTGAATGGGTAGGAGAACTGAGATTTTTCTATCCATAAGGGATTACTTAAGATGTTGTTTTCCATAAGTCCCCACTGAACTCCAAGCTGGTACAGCTAACAGCCTACCTGACATCTTCAGTTGAATATCTAATAAACACCTGCAACTTAACATGTCAGAGTTAAACTTCTGATTTTACCCCTTAAACCTAATCATTCTCCAAATAAATGGCAGCACCAAAGGACAGAAACTTAAGGACAATCTGGACCTCTGTCTCTCACACCTTTCATCCAATTCACCAACAAACCCTGCAGCTCTTCCTACATACAGACTGTCTCCTGAATCCTGCCTTGTCTCACAACCTCCACCAGTACCACCCTGGTCCAGATGCTAACTCCACCTGGACTCCTGTAATAGCCTCCTAGCTGCTCTCCCTGATTCTCCTCTTACCCCTTTAATCAGATCGAGTTAATCTGTCATTCCCCAGTGCAAAACCCTCCAATGGCTTCTCATCAAACTTAGAAAAAAAATCCAAAGTCCTTACCATGCCTTACAGATCCTATATGATCTGGCCTTGTACTTCCTCTGTGACCTTGTTTCCTAACACTCCTCTCCCTCCGTGTGCACTAACCAAAAGGGCGAATTTGCTCTTCCTTGAATAGGCCTTGCATATGCCCACCCCAGGGCCTTTTCATCAGCTGATTTCTCAGCCCGAAAGTTTCTTTCCTCATTCTCATAGCTTGCTTTTTCCTTCTACTTAGATCAGAGCTCAGATGTCATCTCATCAGAAAGGCCTTCTCTTATCTTGTATAATGCCTCCCCTTAACCTGTTCCATTTTTCTTCATTGCATTTAATTACTACCCAATATACATGTTTATGTATTGTGTGTCTCCTACTATAATACAGGTTTCATGAGGTCTGGCAGGAACTATTTTGTTTATCACAGCCTTTAAAACAGTGCATGGGATATAATATGTACTCAATAAACATACTGAAAAGAAGGAAGAAAGAGGAAGAAAGGTAGGGAGGAAGAGAGGAGAGGAGAGGAGGGGAGAAGAAAGAAGAGAGGGAGGTGAGGGAGAAAGATAAAGCTTACTGGACCTTTTCATCCCTTGCTGTCTAACCTGACATTACCAATCTTACAGGAAGATGAATTATCAAGAATGATTCAAAGGACCTGAAAGGAAACTTCCAAACCTTAGAAGGTTACAATATAACAGCCCTGGGCATAGGTTGCCCCAATAATGTCTTCCAAACTAAGTCCAGTGCAAGGAACTTTATTTCACTTCCTAAAGGTACACCACTTTGCACTTGTACTCTGTAAATTTGATTTGGGTGTTGGATATTGTTTATATACCCAAAAGCATGTAAAAGATAGTGAATTTTTGTCCTCCCCCTAAAATTCTAGCCAATACACTTAGATCTGTTTAAACATCTGTGAAGTCATTTGAGTTTTTTTAATTCATTGGTTTTCCTCACTGCCTCCCCTCTCTTTCTTCTATCCTTGGAGACTCTGACTAAGTTATTCCCCTTCTTCAGTCTCTTCTTCTGTACAACTGGGATAATCATAATAACTTCTAGAGCAGGGGTGGGCAAACTTTTTGACTCGAGAGCCACAATGGGTTCTTAAACTGGACCGGAGGGCCGGAACAAAAGCATGGATGGAGTGTTTGTGTGACTAATATAAATTCAAAGTAAACATCATTACATAAAAGGGTACGGTCTTTTTTTTTTTTGTTTTATTCTTTTCAAACGGGCCGGATCCGGCCCACGGGCCGTCGTTTGCCCACGGCTGTTCTAGAGAGTGGTTGTGAGGATTAAATGAGAGGATAGGAGTAGTGCTGACAACAGGGTCTGGCACATAGTAGGTGCTCAATAAATGCTAAGTGTTGTTATGTTTATTATCAATCACCATTCTTGCCCAGCTTCTAGTTTACTTTCAAGTAAAAAATCTAGTCTCTTCACCTCTACAGTCAGGGCCCTACCAGCTACATCCTCTCCAGGTCTGAGTTGACAACCTCACTTCTTGTTTCTCCCTGACATTAATGCTAGGCTTTAGGTGAACTTAATTTATTTTCTAACTCCATCTGACATTTAAATTTCCTACTCCAGTCCTTTAGACATCTCATTTGACTCCTTTTCTTTCATGCTCCAGCCTTTAATTTTATTTTTTAACATTTAAATTCATCTGATATTTTCTGAAATATGTTAGACCTCTTTAGCCAGCAAGTTTTGAAACTAATTAACTTTCACATTTTTAAATGCTTTTTAGTGATTTTACAGAGAGGAAGTGAGAAGGAGAGAAAGAAACATGGATGTGAGTTGCCTCCTGTCAGCACCCCTACTGGGGACCAAACCTGAAACCTGGGAATATGCCCTGACTGGGAGTCAAACTAGCAACCTTTTGGTGCACGGGACAATGCTCAACCAGATGGCCACACTGGCCAGGGCTCTTTTTAAAAAAAATCTTTAAAAAAACATCTTTATTGAGATATATCATGCAGTAAATTGTTCCATATGGATACACCTGTGAAATCACCAAGTGATTCACAGATCAAGATAAAAAAACATTTCCAGTAACAGAGAAGGTTCCCTCAAGTCCATTTCCAGTCAATACCTCCCAAAGGAAACCACTGCTCTGACAATATTGCTATTGATTAGTTTTTACTGTTCTTTAGCTTTTCTCACTCAATACTACATCTTTGAAATTCTTCCATTTTGCTGCTTGTGCATTTAGCTTTTCTCACTCAATACAGGGTCTTTGAAATACTTCCATTTTATTACTGGGACTATACCATTGTGCAAATATGCCACAATTTACCCATTTTTTGTTGATGGATATTTGGATTGTTTCCAGTTTGGGGCTGTTATAATAAAGCTGTATGAACATCCTTAAACAAGTCATCAGGTGGATATAGCGCTCTTTTCTCTTGTAGCTGTGCCCAGGTTCAGTTGCTGGATCATAGGGTGAGCATATGTTCAGCTTTAGCAAATCCTGCCAAACAGTTTTCCAGAAAGATTGTATCAAATTATACTCCCACCAGTCACATGTGAGAGGTCCAGTTGCTCCACATCCTTAAGTAATTGATGGTGTCAGTCTTTTAATTACCATTCTGCTGGGTGTGAAGTGATATCTTGTTTTAATTTCCCTGAGAATAATGATGTTGAGCACCATTTTATATGTTTTTGACCACTTGGATAACTTTTTAAAAAGTATTTGTTCGAGTTTTGCATCATTTTAAAAAATGGAATTTTAATTTGATTTTTAGGAAGAGTTCTTTATTATATATATATATGGAAACAAATTTCTCCTCCCAATCTGTGACTCACTTTTTCACTCTCCTACTGATGTCTTTGATGAACAGACATTATTTTTTTCTTTTTGAAAAAAATTTTTTATTGAATTTATTGGGGTTACATTGGTAAATAAAATTATATAGGTTTCAGTTTTACAATTCTATTAACACATCATCTGTATATTGTATTGTGTGTTCATCACTCCAGGTCAAGTCTCCTTCCATCACCATTTATCTCCTGCTTTACCCTCTTCTACTCTCCCAGCCCCTTTTCCTCTGGTAATCACCATACTGTTGTCTGTATCTATGAGTTTTGTTTTGTGCGTAATCCCTTCACCTTTTTCTCCCAACCTCCTAACCCCCTTTCCCTTTGACAGCTGCCAATCTGTTCTCTGTATCTATGAGTCTGTTTCTATTTTGTTAGTTAGTTTATTTTGTTCACTAGATTTCACATATAAGTGAAATCGTATGGTATTTGCTTTTCTCTGGCTGGCTTATTTCACTTAGCATAATACTGTCCAGGTCCATCCATGATGTATTTTTTTATGGCTGAAAAGTATTCCACTAAATGTACCACAGCTTTTTTAATATACTTATCTACTGATGGGCACTTGGGCTGCTTCCAAGTCTTGGCTATTGTAAATAACACTCCAATGAACATAGGGGTGCATATATCCTTTCAAATTAATAGAACAGTCATTCTTAATTTTAATGAAGTTTGATTTATCAGCCTTCTCTTTTTAAAAATATGTTTTCTTGATTTTAGAGAGAGCGAGGAAAGGAGAGAGAGAAAAACAGAGGTGGTGCTGGAGCAGCGAGCCTCCTTCACATCCCCACTGGGGATCGAGCCTGCAACCTGGACATGTGCTCTGATCCGGAATCAAACTAGTGACCTTTTGGTGCATGGGACTAAGCTCAACCAACTGTGCCACACTGGCCAAGGCTCAGCCTTCTCTTTTATGGTGAGTTCTGTTTGGAAATCTTTGTAATCATGATACTATCCTCCTATGCTTTCTTCTAGAAGCTTTTCTTTTCTCTTTCACATTTAGGTCTATGATCCACCTCAAATGCATGCATTTCTTTAAAAAACAACAACAACAACAACTCAGAATTCAGTTTTTCAGAGACTCACTCATTCATTCATTCATTCATTCCTTCAATCACTTATTCATTTAACAGAATTTTTAATCACCTATCATATATCAGGCACTTGTGAGAGAACAAAAGCAATTAGAGTCAACATTTAAGGCACTTATTGGCCAGCAGGGGAAAGGGTGAGACTTGCACATAAACAACATCTAGAAAGTAGTAATTTAGTTGGAAAATATGAGATGGCCTAATTATTCAGATGTGCCGCCCAGAGTCCTTTTCTCTTTGAACACAGGCAGAGAGATTACATTTCCTACATGCCAGTGATCCTGTCTTTCTCGTCCTTCATTGGCCCCCATGTCCTCCAAGTAAAAGCCCTAGTCCCTGTGCTTGGTACATGAGGTGTCCCACCATCTGGCCCCTCCTCACTCCTGACCCTCATCTTCTAGACCCCTCCATCTCCATCCCACAGCCTCTGCACAGACACCTGAACTCCTGAGCAGAGCGAGCTGTTCATCCTGCCAGCTCTTTGTCTCTGCTTTCCTTCTGCCTGGATTCCTCCCATGACACTGATGTCTGAATATCTGCTCACTGCTCCAGCACCACCTCTGTGAAGCCTCTCCTGGTTCCTTTCTGTCTCATTGTTTGTGCCTTGAAGTCTACCTCTGGAGCCAGACTGGTAGGTTTGAGCCCCGCTTGTCACTTTCCAGCTCTGTGACCCTGGGCATGTTACCTAAACTGCCAACCAAGTCTCATGTTCTTCAGTGGGAATGGTTGTGGATCCTGGTATGGATGGTTTTGTGCAGAATAAATGAGATTATCCAGGTGCAATTGTTTAACACAGTGTCTAGCACATAGTAAGGGCTCAGTAATTATTTGCTTAAAAAACAATAAAAATAGTTCTAACCATCATACAAATGACGTTTATCAGCTAATATATTGGTCTTTTCAGTAGACAGGTGTTTTCTTTAGATTATAAATCACTTCCTTAATTTTTCTACAATTGCCACTGGGACTAGTACCCACCTGTGGAGGTCCTAGTGCAGTTCTCTATGCAGGGAGCTTTATGTCCATTACCCCAGTGAATCTTTACAGTAACTTACAAGGTAAGGACTAGGATCTCCAGGCTATGGTTTAAAAAACTGAGGTTGAAACTCTGTCCCGTGTCCCTCAGCTGATTTGTTGAGGAACCAGGATTTTGACTCCCTGCTTCATTGCAAAGTTTGTGAGCTACTAATTACATATCCCATCACATCACAGTGAGCTCACATTTGATGAATAGAATGGAGTCTAATAAACCCAGAACCTACCCAAGTTTGGTAAAAGGAGCATGGGCTTATCTGCACTGCTAAGTCTCGAATGTGACCATCAAAGGTCAAGCAACCAGAGGCTGAGACCCTCCCGGCAAACAGATAGCATCTAGAGCAGGTGCTTTCCACTTTTCCCTCTTGGGAAATGGCGGTTTCATCATCAATAATTTATACTTTGTGACTTCAAGGTGTGCTCTTTAATTGACACAATGCTACCTTTCCAGAGGAACAGGTTGTCACTTTTCACAAAATTTGCCCTATTTAATGAAACTTTGTTGTCTAATTACAGACCATTTCCTCTATTGCTGTATCACAGTCCCAACCAGCAGTCTTAGGAAGATTGTTTTCAAGCAGATTCTGGAACCTTGACCTCTCCAGCCCAATTGTAAGTATCTTGAGAGCTGGGACCCCATCGTACTTGTCTGTATCTCCCAGGCCACCTGACTTGGTTAGGCAGGAATTCAATAATTATGTTTACTTGTTTCATGCTGGGTACTGGGCTAGGCCTTGGGAGGGAGAAAGGAGGAAGCAGATTCAGATCTTGCCCTCCAGGAGCTTCTGGTCCAACCCAGAAGATAAGACTCAAACATAAGCAACAAACATCTGATATGGGAAATGGGGGATGTGGTAGGGATTGTAGCAGAGAGCTACACTGGGGTACACCCCCGTCCCAAAGCATCGCTTGTACTTCAAGATTACTGGGGGATGCTCGGCTGGCATGGCTCAGTGGTTGAGCGTCAACCGATGAATTGGGAAGTCACAGTTCAATTCCCAGTCAGGGCACATGCCCAGGTTGCAGGCTCGATCTCCAGTGTGGAGCATGCAGAAAGCAGCCTATCAGTGATTCTTTCTCACCATTGATGTTTCTATCTCTCCTCCTTTCCTCTCTGAAATCTATAAAAAATATTTTTTAAAAAAGATTGCTGGAGAATTCTTTGCAAGTATGAGCATGTTACAGTTCTATAACATATCATCTGTTATGTGCATGCATTTTAGGTAAAACAAATTTCAAGGTGCTATATTTGGTAGACCCATCCCCCTGCCTTCCTCCTAGGCTAGGTGGCTCCCTCTCCTCTGTCTTGAGGAATGTTTTGGTGGGTGATAAGCATGACTATTGGAATCAGGCAGAATTAGGTTTTCAATCACTTTCCAGCTATGTGAATTTGAGCAAGTGGTCTGAGCTCTCTGAACATGAGTTTATTCATGATTTTATGAGGTTTATGAAAATCAGTGTTTTACATAAAGCTTTTGTCATATATACAGTAGCTTTTATGCATGTTGTGAAGAAATGAATGTTCATGGGACAGATGGATGGATGGATGGACAGATGGATGGAGTAGAGAACAAGTCAGTCTGTTGCCACATAGCAAGGAAAAAAAAGGCACATATTCCCTTGGTCATTAATACTTTGCAATTCTATGGCATTTTGTACCCTTGAAGCACTTTCGTATTCACACAAAAATCAAAGAAAGTAGAGCCATCTCAATTCTGCCTCTGAGAAAAAAATGAGGCCTCAAGAAAAGCCCAGAGTCTTGCCAAAACTGAGATTGGTCAACTTGAAACTGCACCTGGTTCAGCATTTTTAACACAATAACTTGGGGACGTGTTAGGGGGTGAGGATGAGGACATGCCTTTCAAATTACTGCCTTTCCTTTCTGAGCTGTGTACAGCCTGCTAATTGAGCTACATGTCATGGGCCATAAAGTTCCAGAATCCACACAGCTGGGGCAGGGCAGAAGTTCTTCACTTTCCCTGTTGAGAAACTGAACCAAGCTATGGACTTGAATCTCCTTAACATACATACACACATAAATTCACATGCAACTTCAGGAAGCCTGTGGGCACCCTGAAGGCCCTCTACCATGCCCCCTCAGGTGCTCAAGACCCCTCTACAGCAGACATCCTGAGCCTGACCAACTGCAGAAACCACAAACTCATTAGCTCCAGGCAGAGGAGTAGAAACAGTACATCCAACGTAGCAAACCTCAGCAACTTCAGCCAGGGCCAGCCTACACTCCCAACTCTGCAATCATCTCAATTGTGGAAAGTTTATCTTTCAATGAATATCCAAAGCCAAGCCATCCTTTTCCCTACCAGCTTTTGGAAAGTTTTGGTGGAAATCAAAATTGAGGTCATCTGTGTTTTAGAGATGAAAATTGCCAGCGTGTTAATGGAACAGGGTGGAGACTGGTGAATAGGATAACACATAGTTATCTAGAATCAACTGGCTTCACCAAGGGCAATGCCTTCGCTGTCATGTAAGCCATGATCAGGTGTGAAAGATAAAGAACCAGACTCGCTGCTGGAAGGAAACTTGTTAAGGTCATTCACATACTCATTCAACACTTGTGTATTGAGCAGCTACTATGTGCCAGGCACTGTTCTAGACCCCTAAGATATATGTGATACTAAAACAGAGAAAAAATCTTGTCCCACATATAATAATTGAGCTTATATTCTAGTGAGGAAGATGAACAAATACCCCTAAGTGTAATAAATTGTACAGTACGTCAGAAGGCAAAAAGTGCTGGTGGGGAGGGGGAAGAAAGGAAGTCAATCAGGATTAAGGGATGGGGGGGCAGTGTGATGGAGGAAGCAAGTTGCAATGTTGCAATAGGGTCAGGAAATCTTCATTGAAGGTAAGACTTGGGTGAGGTTTGGGCAAGGCTTGAAGACAAGGAGGCTGCCAAGAAGATGCCAATAACAACACTAAATGGCTAATATTCAGGCATTCACTCACAAGTATGTATTGGGTGCATTAAGATCTGCTTGAGGTAGGCTGAATAACAGCCCCCAAACACACCCAGGCCCTAATTCCTGGAACCTGTGAATGTCACCTTTAGGGCAAAAGGAACTTTGCAGATGTCATAAAGTTAAGGATTTTTTTTAAAAAAAAAAATTCTTTTACTTTAAAATGTTTTTTTGATTTGAGATAGAGAGAGGGGGAGAGAAACATGGATCAGAAAGCACCATGGATTGGCTGCCTCCTGCATGCCCCCTACTGAGGATCAAGCCCACAACCCGGGAAAGTGCCCTGACCAGGAATTGAACTGGCAACCTCTTGGTGCATGGGACGACGCTCAACCAACTGAGGACACCAGCTAGGGCAAGTTAAGGATTTTATGATAGGGATATTATCCAGGATTTTCCGGCAGGCCCTAAATGTATGCATTAGGGGCCTTATAAGCGGGAAACGGAGACTTGACTATAGAAGGGAAGAAAGTGATGTGACTATGGAAGGAGGGGGAGAAGGGTAATGTGATGTGATGTGATGTGATGTGATATGATGTGAAGCCGCCAGCCAAGGAATGAGGAAGCTGGTAAAGTCAAGCAAACAGACTCTCCCCTAGAGCCTCCTTCTGACACCTTCATGTTATTCCCATAGAACTCATTTGGACTGCTGACCTCCAGAACTGTAAGCATAAACCTGTGCTGCTTTACACCTCCACATTTGTGGAAATTTGTTGAAGCAAATTACTACAAGTGCTATTGTAGACAAGGATATAGTAATGCGCCAAAGTGACAAAAATCCCTGCCATGTGACGTCCTATCCTTGACCACTTGTTCTGTGCCCTGGATACGCAGAATCCCTTTGCACACCAGTGCTAGGAGATGGTTGTTACACGAGGCTGTGTAACTCAGAGACCCTGTTCTTTAACCATCTGAGGGTCTTCTGGTCATGCCCGATTAGACTGGGTTTGTGGCTCTATTTGCTCATGTCACCTCCGATGCCATTGGACTCCTACGTGGATTGTACTATTCTGGGTGCCTGGGAAGCTAACCCCTTCTTCTCTCACCACACCAGGAGTAAGGCTCTTCCCAAAGAAAGGGTGACATCCTTCATTCAAGGTTATATGAATAGCATCCTCTACGTGAATTGCCCACATAATCTTAGCTAACTCAGAGGTGGGACTATGTGGCAGGCACTTCTGCTATGGGTTTTCAGAACATAAATTTAGCCCTATAAGGTGGGTTTTTAGTATTCTCCCCATTTCACAGATGAGAAAACACAGGCACAGAGAGATTAAATAACGGTCAAAGATCATATGATCAGTAAGGGTTGGGTGCCAAGATTCAACCTCTTCACTGCTTTTAAGGCTTGTTAATAAAAATTAAGTTTTATTGAGCATCTACTATGTGTCAGATACTCTTCATTTAAGCTTCACAACAACTCTTTGAATGAGAGAAAAGTACTATGTCTATTTTATGGATGATGAAACTGAGGACAAAGAGGATAAAACCCAGGCTGTGAACCTGGAGCCCATTCTCACCTATTGTGCTGTCATGTAACTTAAGCACCCACTTTGTCCCAGGAACTGTACCAAGCCCCTAAGATGAAGACGTGAATAAGATTAAGTCAATAAAAGTAAATGGTTAAGAAGTTGAACTTTGTACTAGACTCATTGGGGTGATTACTTCATAGGTTATAAATATGTCTAATCACTGTATTGTATACCTGAAGCTAACATAATATTATACATGGGAACTATAATTGAAATTTTAAAAAATTTTAAATAAGAAAATAAAAATGCCCCCCCCTCCATCCCAAAGAAATTGGATTTTGGAGTCACAGGAACCATCTGTTTGATCTTGGACAAGTTACTTAACTGTTCTGATACTCAGTTTTCTCATCCATAAAATGGGAATGGCACTAGGATTTACCTCAGGGTTGTTGTGAGGATTACATGAGAACCACCATGTGAAGTGCTTAAGCACAGTTTTTGGCACAGCGTGAATTGTCAATACACATCAGTTGTTGTCATATTATTGCTATTATTATTATAAGAAAGCTCAGTTCCTGGCCTTAAATAGAGAAGAATGCACCAACGATGTAGACGTTAATTATAATGGTAATTTAGAGAACCCTGACCTAGGGTAAAACCTCTTGTTTGCTTAACCCAAATGTCAGACTGAAGGGGAAATCAGGGAACCCATCCATGCCTTTCACCTGTCCCAAAGACACCTGGAATAGAGTAGGAGATCTAGGAACATTGGTCACTTTTAATCCTCTTGGAACACAGTGGGTGTACTTAAAGAAAGAAAATTCTAGCCCAGCCGGCGTGGCTCAGTGGTTGAGTGTCAATCTGTGAACCAGGAGATCTTGGTTCAATTCCAGGTCGGGGCATATGCCGGGGTTGCGGGCTCGGTCCCCAGTTGGGGGCATGCAGGAGGCAGCTAATCAATGATTCTCTCTTATCATTGATGTTTCTATCTCTCCCTCTCCCTTCTTCTCTGAAATCAATAAAAAATATTTTTTTAAAAAAGAAAATTCTAGAAAATCCCACCAGGGTGTATGAGTCTGACTTGAGCACTTATATGCTGGACTCACCTGGTGCTCCACCAGGACCCTGTGACGGAGATGAGGAAGAGTTCTAAACCTCCATTGCAGAAAGAGCCATGGCAACCACCACTGACAGAGGATTCCGTCTTGGTCTCCAGGTCTGTGAACCAAGGCTTTGCTGGGACCAGTAGAGGACTGCCCCAGAGTTGTTTCTCACTGGTTGAAGGAAACATCTTCTAGGGAATGATGGAGAAATAGGGGCTACATTTTTTCCCTTCCTGGAAGATTTATAAACCCTAAAATGTGACTTTTATGCTGGGACTACAAGATATCCATATGCAAAAGAATGAAGTAGGACCCCTACCTCATACTGTATATAAAATTTAACTTGAAATGGATCACAGTGCTAAATGTAAGTGCTAAAACTGTAAAATTAATAGAAGAACACATAGGAGTAAATCTTTGGGACTTTAGCTTGAGCAACCATTTCTTAGATTTGACACCAAAAGCAGAAAAAATAAAAATTAGATAAATTGGACTTCATAAAACTTTAAAAATTGGTGTATGTCCAAGGGCACCATTAAGAAAGTGAAAAGACTACACACAGAATAGGTGAAAATATTGCAGATCATATGTTTATAAGGGACTTAAATCCACAATATATACAGAACTCTTACAATTCAACAATAGAAAGACAAATACCTCAGTTTATAAATGGCAAAGGGTTAAGAGGTTAACCAAAGAACTTACATACTTATATGCACAGCCCATGGACACAGACAATAGTGTGGTGAAAACCTGGGTGGGGTAGGAGCTGGGTGGAGGGGGGCAAAGGAAAGGGAAATGGGGATGTCTGTAATACTGTCAACAATAAAAATGTACATTAAAAAATAAAAACGACAAAGGATTCGAGTGGATATTTCCCCAAAGACAATGTACAAATGACCAGTAAACACATGTGAGATGTTCAACAGCATTAGTTATTAGGGAAATGCAAATCAAAACCACAATGAGACTCCATTGTATCTAGGACGACTAAAATAAAAACAGCAGACAATAACCAAGGAGGGAGGATGTGGACATACTGAAACTCTCATACCTTGCTGGTAGAATTGTAAAATGGTGTAGCCACTTTGAAAACCAGTTTGGGAGTTTCTCAAAATGTTAAACATAGAGTTATCATATGACACAGCAATTTCACTCCTAGGAATAGATTCAAAGAGAACTAAAAACATATGTTCACATAAAAAGTTTACACATGAATGTTCACAGCAGCCTTATTCATGATAGTCCCAAAAAGGAAACAACTCAAATATCTACCAGCTGACAAATGGATAAGCAAAATATGGTCTGTTCATACAGTGGAGTGTTACTTAGACAAAAAAGGAATGAAGTACTAGTTCATGTGACAACATAGAGAAATTTGAAAACATTATGCTAAGTGAAAGCAGCCAGTCACAAAGAACCCAAACATTGTATGATTCAATGTATATGAAATGTCCAGAATAGGCAAATCTATATATAAAGTAGAAAGTAGGTTTGTGGTTGCCTAGAACTGGGGAAGAGGGGTGCAGAATAAGGGGTGACTGCTAATGGGTACAGGGTTCCTTTTGGGAGGTGATGAAAATGTTCTAAAATTAGTGGCAATAGTTGCACAATTTAAAATATACTGAAACCTTTAAATGAGTGGATTTTTATGGTATGTGAATTAGATCTCAAAAAAAAAGGTATTATTTTCAAAAATGACTGTCCATCCTTGAAGAAGTCACTGGAGACTTCTCTTCAGTTAATGCCAATTCCATGTCACCTGAGAATAGATAAATTGGGGGTCTGGTTGGAACTTGTCTTTTCTATGGTCCTCCTTTTTCAAGTTTCCCATGTTGTCTCCTGATTCCAGATCCAGGCACCGCCCCTTTCTTTATCGGGATCACCCATATCACCTAGTTACCTGGTACTATCCTTCACATGTCAGCCATCCCTGGCTCCCAACACAGCATTTTCTTATCCCCATTCCACTGAATTGTGTTGGCTTGTTTCCTTGGTACTGTGTCCTGTACTATGCCATTCGCTCCCTGAGGACAGTTGAGATACTGGTTTTGCTTACCATTACATGCCAACACGAAATGAATGAATGAATGAATGAATGAATGAAAATATATGACTGAAAAGAACAAGTATATGTATTGAGTGGAAAGATACAGAGAATAAGAAAGAATAAGGAAATGGAAGAAGGGGAGATTTGGACTAAAGTCATATTAGCATGTACCCATACCCACTTTTTTTCTGTTTCTGAGAAATAAGGATTTCTCGGCCCTACAGCCACGTTGACCATTTGAGTCTCTCAGATTCTAGAATGGCTACTTGGTTTCCTATGAATCAAACCAAACCCATTGGCCTTTCAAAGAACACCCTAAACCTTGTTTTTCTAACTTTGGCTCAGAAATCCTAAATTGGGAATCTAGCCAAAGAAAATAACAAGCACCTGAACACAGCCAGGGAGAGGGGTGAGCTCTTGAAACCCAGGCACAGAGCTACTAAACTGGCATGACTTGTAATAGCCCCAAACCACCACCAACTTAAATGTCCAGCAGCAGGGTAGTGCACATCATGTCACTCCCAAAGATGAAGTAATATATACTCATTAGAAGAATTTAGTGACCTGGGAAAATGCGTGAATCATTCGTTGTGAAAAAACGACAACAGGTTATTAACGGACGAGTAGATTAGAAAGTGATTGCTAATATGCAAACTGTACACACAAAAAAATTTTAAACGGGAAAAAATACCCACACCAGAATGATTGAAGGGTTTCCTTTTTGTGGTGTCTTCCTCATTTCTTTTTTTTTTTAAATGTTTTTATTGACTTTAGAGAGAGAGGAAGGGAGGTAGAGATTAAGAGAGAGAAAAACATCAATGTGAGAAAGAAAAAACAGATCAGCTGCCTCCTACATGCCCCCTACTGGGGATGGAGCCCTACTATCAGGAATCGAACAGGTGACCTTTTGGTACAACTGAGCGACACCAGCCAGGGCCTTCATTTCCTTTTCTTAATGTATCCAGGTGTTCTACAATGACCATATAGGACTTTAATAACCAGAGGGAGGGAAATCCCCCAGTTCTCTCACTCCACTGCTGTTTCTTAGGAAATTCACTCTCCACCTGCTTCGTTCACTTAACCCACATCCACCTGCAAATCCTCATCCTGAGCTGCACCCTCAGCCTACAAGGACTTTGCTGGGTGCTTCGTCCAACCACTTCTAGGAAGCCTTTCCTGATCACCAGAAGGAGAAGAGGCTGTCTGGGGCCCCACAATGCCGCCACATATCCCTCTGCTCACCTTGTCTGAGGAAATCTCCAGCTTCTTGGCTGGTGCTTGACCTCAAGAGACCATTTCCTCATGCAGCCCAGCAGCTGGTGTAGCCAGGCCTGTGTGCACCTGCACCTGGCTTATGAGTCTACACTCCTAACCACTATGGAAAGCAGTCTGGCGATTCCTCAAAATATTGAGAATAGAGCTAGCATACGACCCAGCAATCCCTCTCCTGGGTATATACCCAAAAACCTTGAAGTCATATAGTCACAAAGATATATGCACCCCTATGTTTATTGCAGCATTGCTCACGGTGACCAAGACACGGAAACAACCAAAGTGTCCTGTGATAGAGGACTGGATAAGGAAGATGTGGTTCATATACACAATGGAATTCTACTCGGCCATTAGAAAGGATGAAATAGCGCCATTTGCAGCAACATGGATGGACCTTGAAAACACTACGCTAAGTGAAATAAGTCAGTCAGAAAAAGCTAAGAACCATAAGATTTCACTCATATGTGGGATATAAAATGGAAACTCGTGAACAGAAACAGCAGTGTGGTGGTTGCCAGGGGGACGGGGGTGGGAGGTGAAGGAAGTCCTAATATATGGTGACAGAAGATTTGACTTTGGGTGGTGGGCACAGGGTGCAATGCACAGATCTTGTAACATAGAAACCCACACCTGAAACCTTATGCTAATGTTAACCAATGTCACCCCAATAAATTTTTAAAAAATTTTAAATGAACCCCCAGAAAGAAGTTGGTGTTGAGGCCATGGTCTCACCCTTATTGCTGGATGATGAGGAAGGTGGCCATGACTTTTCTGTCTGCATGTCCTGATTTGCCATGGGAAAGACTTCTCATTTAAAAACTACCCAAACAGTCTTCAAACAACTTAAGAAGTGATCAAAGGTGTTTGTCTTTAACCTGGACAAGCAACCTTCTTAATGGAGTCAGCCCAATGCTTGGTAACTTTGGTTGGGAAGAAATGAACACGAACCAATACTGCTGATGTAGCTCGAATGCACTTAGATTTTCCATGAGTTGAGTTGTCTGGGGATATAGATCCAGCTTGTTCCTGAATTGGAATCAACTTAGAGAAACCCTTGAAGGAAAAGGGGAGTGTGTCAGCAAACACTTGAGAGCTTACCGTGTGCCTGTGCTTCCATCTTAGAGCACTTGTGAAATGTTGTGGCTTTCCCAGAGCAATAAACAGCTGAGTGATTTTTCCTGTAGAGCTTCCTGGTCACGTACTCCACCCACCTGGAGCATAACAAGGAAGGCTCAAGGATAGGATGGACTGTCTTGTGGTGCTTTGAAGAAAGGCACATGCGTCTTAGCTCCTGCAGCATTTTGAGCTCATTACCCTGGCCTGTGTATGAAATGCGACGGAATTAAGGTACAAGAAAAGTCAGATATCATGGGAACTAACCTTTGGTGCTTTTGAAACTGAGAAAAAAGGATTTGTTGTGCCAAGCTTCCTCATCAGTCTGGTATTTCACCTCTCATCTTAAACAAGGTAAACAAACCACCACGGACATATTTTTCTTCCCCGCAGAACTGCACCCTTTTTCATGATTAGGTCTGGGTGCTGTTTGGCAATGGGAATTGAGTAGAATGGAGGTGGGGAAGCATTTTTTCATTCCGCCCTCTTCTCAAATATTTAAAGTAGAATAACGAGTAGGTGAGTGACTATCATTGTCACAACCCTTTTCCACTCCTGCCACCTGAATACGGACATCAATCACCCTTTTCTTCGGCCACCACAGATGGCATTTCCTGATGTGCCCTGCAAGACTGGAGGTGCCGAGACCTCTGGGGGAGAGTCTGATGGGAAGATGGGATGGTCTTCATTCTGTCATCTTTAGGGTCCGGGTTTTTTTTTGTGTGAGATCTGTAAGCTTTGCATGAAATGGAAATTCTGGGAGGACAGAAGAGGTTCTGAGGGACCAATAGGGGAAGAGCTAGGCTAGAGATCACAGATGGCAGGAACCTACATGGGAATTTTGTGTGTTGTCATTGGGGTCCATGTGAACTGTCTTCCTCATCTTCCCAGGAGATCCTCAGTAAAATAAATATCCATTTCTTGTTGGTACATTATCGAGTTGAATCTGTTTGTTGAGGGAATTCATTCATTCAACAGATATTTATTGAGAACCTGAACCTGCCTGCAGTGTTCTAGATGCTGAGGATAAAGTAGTGAGTAAAACATACCCAACAAGGGAACAAATTGAATGAATCTTCAAGGAATTCTGCTGTGTGAGAACAGCCAATCCCCAAAGGTCAATATTGTGTGATTCCATTTACATAACATTTTCAAATGATAAAATTTTAGAAATGGTGGTTGCCAGGGGTGAGGTATGGGAGAGAGGTAGGTGTGGTGATAGAAAAGCAACCCGAGTCATCCTTGTGTCAATGTACTATTATTCAGTATCTTGACTGTAGTGCTGGAAACAGGAACTTATACATGTGATAAAATTGTATAGAACTATACATACACACACACCGCCCTGCCCCCGCCCCCCACACCCACAGAGGTAAAACTGGGAAAATCCAAATAATATCTGTGGATTGGTCTATGTCAATAGTCTGATTGTGATATTGTACTAAAATGTTACCATTGGGGGAAACTTTAAAGTTCATGTAGAATCTCCTGTTACCATTTCTTAAAACTGCACATGAATCTATAATTATTCCAATAAAAGTTTACATTTAAAAAATGTCTCTGACCTGATGGTGTCTACATTTGAGTAGAAACTAAGTATGGCTTCAGGGTAGCAGCAGGGCAAAATCCAAGACCATCTGCCCCCCTCCCCCTTGGAGTATTCATGCACTGTCATGGGAGATTCCATCCCATCCTTGTGACGTGTCATGAATCCTCTCCGGTGACTGAATGAAATCTAGACTTGGGAGTAGGCAGATGCAACACTAAGGGTGGAGTCCCAGGCCTCCCTGACCCCTTGACATAGGTATCTGGGAACTATCCAGCCTGCCTTTGATTCTCTAAACCAGGCACCAGGCACATCCCTGGGGCTTGCAGTATTCACATGGGACCATGCTTGGCTTGAGCCTAGTTTCCTACATCCCCACCACCATGCTCCTTCCACCTCTGCCTCAAATGCCTGGTCTGTCCTAACAGCACATTCACCTTGGAGAACCTTCTTTCCTGTACACTCGGGTGTGGCTTGCTGCCCTGGTTCTCAGCATCAGGCAAGTGCTCCTCAAGCCAGCCCTGGCGTGGGACTCAATCCTGGATCCTGAGCCCTTAGCCATGGCCAGTCGGGTCAGTGTCCAGATCTTTAACCCCCTCCTATAAAAGGCGATTCCCACACCCATCTGTTGAAGCTTTGGCTGTACAATGGGCCATCAAGATTACTACCAACCATCTAGCTCTGCCACTGTATTTTATTGCCTTAGAAGAACTTCAGAGGAAGGAAGCCATGTAAAAATAAAAAAAGGTCTGAAGAGACTTTAAAGTTTTTATTATTTTATAGTATGTCATGCCTTGCATAGAATGACCACAAAGCAACATGCCTTCCTGGCCACATAATTTACTAACAGGGCATGGTGAGAAGGCTGGAACTCCCAGACATACAATCTAGCCCACTGGAAAGAATGGAGGGAGGAAAGGGAGAGAAAGGGACAGAGAAAGAAGTAAAGATAAATGTTTATCTCTTCTCTGTCATTCTAAGAGCGATGAATACATGACAACATAATTTCTGATTCATGGTCATGGTCTTAATAGGAAAGGAGCTTTCTTTCTTTCTTTTTTTTTAAATCCTCACCCAAGGATATTTTCTTTTTTTTTTTTAATTTATTTTTTTTTTATTACAAAGAGTATTACAAGGATATTTTCCATTGATTTTTAGAGAGAATGGAAGAAAGAGGGAAAGACAGAGAGAAATATCGATGTGAGAGAAACACATCGATTGGTTGCCTCTTGCACATACCGACCAGGGCCTGGGGCCAAGGAGGAGTCTGCAACCGAGGTACGTGCCCTTGACTGGAATCAAACCTGGGACCCTTCAGTCCAAAGGCCGACACGCTATCTACTGAGCCAAACTGGCTAGGGCAGAAAGGGGCTTTCTTAGAAGTGCTAGAGCTATCAATAAATATTTGATCAATGCTCAAACAAGGTTTTTATGGCCAAAATGAAATGAAAGAAAGATACTGATAAGCTCTATCTCCAAACCTTTGTCTCAAAGCAAACACTGAAAGAATAAGCACCAAATGAAAGGAAGGACCCAGAGAGGGATCACACCTGTGTCCCCGGGAGCCTACCCATGGGGCCGCTCACGCCTGTCCTGTTTGCGATGAAGCCCTGTCCTGGACTTCCTGGGAAGGGGCCTGCTTCCTTGGGTCCCAGTCTGTGTCCGGGATGAATAACCCGTGGAGATCCAGGTGCATGTCCACATCAACATATGCACGAGCTAGTTCTGCAAAAGTTTTGGCATCCAGAATAAGCAGAAAAGGCAGCTTTTGGGGATCGGAGGAGACAATGGCCGATAAGAGAATTCCTTTGGGGAAACAAAAAGACACTTTGTAAAAGTGCAGCCTTGAACCTCCTCCAGCTGGAGGGACGAGCTTCTCAGCTGTTTCCCTGTCCTCTACGAATGTCAGTATCTATCAAAACAGAAGGAAAGTGAATTTTACATTCTGTGTGAGCAGAAGAGAAAGATCAGGGAACTGGGAGTCAGGAGACCTGCTTCCAGCCCTGGCTAGGCCAGTCCCTTTACCTCTCGGAACCTCAGTCTCCTCATTTGTAGAGTGGGATAATGTCCCTCCCCTCACAGGCTTGCTGAGAGGATCTCTTGCATGATGAATCATAAAAGCACTTTGTAAATTACTGCATGTGCTGCAGAATGGCTATTTCTCTACTATTTAGAAACTGATTATAGAGAATTGGTTTCGATGCTGCATTTAGGCTAATATGTGTCACTTGGCTAAATTCAGACTAGTTACACTTAAATGGCATTTGAATGAGCCCAATTCACCTCAAGGCAGCCTCAGCTTCCCCCTCTGTACAATGGAAACTTTCTAAGCACTCACTCTCAAGGAACAGAGGGTTAAACAAAATAATGCACATAAACTTCCAGCTAACATTTGTGCTTTGTCCCAGGGCCTCCCAGGTTTCAGAGTGGCTGAGCATAATTGAAGTCAGATTGGCTTGGTCTCAAATCCTATCTCTATAGGCACTGGGCGTGTGACCGTGGGCAAGTTACTTCATTCTTTTAGCCTCTCCTGTGGTGAAATGAAGACAATGCTACTCCCTGCCCATGGAGAAAATGCATGGGACACACTCTCATAGCCCAGTGGAAGGCCGGCCTCAGCAGGAGGTGGTACCCACAACCCCCCACCTCAGAGATGACAGTGACACGGGATCCCCAGC